TGTTATATACACATGAGCCAACGGCTGTGTTTAACACTGATCTTGACAATGCAAGCCCTGCCTTAAATAAGGTGAGGAAAACTAGCAGAGACAATCTTTCCTGTTAGGAACAGTATCTTTATCACAAACCATAGAACACTGAGTGACACACCACTTCCTCTTAATACATGGGTTTACACCCAACTACTTGTGATGCAGTCCTTGTGGTTTGTCATTCCCTCAGAAACGGAATAATCGGAAAACTAGCTTTTCAGGAGTTCCCCAGAGATACACAAGTGAACATTAAAAACTACAGGTATTTCAAACAGAAATACCTATTCCATGTCTCTCTTCTTCTTGTGAATTTCTGCAGGAAACCGTATGCAAAGATCTTCCTACGTGTGGACTGCATCCTAAGACTTTGGATCAACTGAGTCAGTGTCCAACATTGGGAAAATCTTCCATCCGCTTTCTGGAAATGAAGGATTATGCTTACACCTGGAAGTCCTAGGTATGCTAGTTCCATTTAATGGAAAAGAATGCTCTCTAGTGTGCAGTTCCTGTACTTCATTCAGGTCTACGCAGGCAGCACCTATGCAGTACCGGGAGGGATACAATCTAGTTGAACATCACAGACAACTATTGCACATCACCCATCATAAAACACTTCAAAGGACTTTTGAAGGAAATGAAGGAGGCGGCCTTGGATGTCTCCTTTTATAATTTAGAAAGCCTTTTTTAAATAAAATTTGATAAACCACGATTATTTTATTGGTCTGAATTGCATCTGGAGGGTCTGTATTCTTCATGCACATGCAAATTCTATTCTGAAGTACAGAATTTCTGCTACTGCTCTGTGTGGTAACCCTAACTTGTGGCCATTTGGATGGGTGGAATTCTTGGCAAAACCCCTTCCAAGATGGCTTACAGCACCTTGCCAGAAGCTCAATAGCTGCACCTTGGTATGTTGCACCTCTTGGTTGAGCCAGCTCTGAACTCCACAAAGATAGATGAAAGTCATATGGACACAAGCACAGAGTTCTGGCTGCAGCTGGATCAGATTAAAAGGTCAAGATTCCTCAGAACTGCTTGGCATAGCTGTCTAGTATTCCCATACCCACTTACGTTAAAATGAGCTAGAGTTTTAAAAAGCAGTTTATACAAACTAGAACCTGAATCAGAACAAGTTGGAGCAATAACGTAGTTGTGCTACGTGATGGAAGACAGAGAAAATGAGAGGCAGCAGGGGCTGCTGATCTGATTCTGTATGTGTGTAGCAATAGGAGAGTCCATTAACAGGGGTAATGGAGTCACGTTTACTTCAGATAGTCAAAGCTGTTATTTTGGAGGTGTGTATGTCACTTTTTACACAGCTATCAGGTGATCAGGTTCCTGCAGCAGAGAATACTATATCTGAAGAGCAGTATGTAGAATACCATCTTGCTTGTGCACTCCAGCGAGATTTCTAATTCAACTGTGCACAGAAAATAAAGCAGTGCTCTCGCAACACGGTCAGCTACCCTCATCCTTACTGCAGTGCAGTTCTGCTCACCACCTCAGAATCTGTGATTCTGAAACAGTAACATTACTTGAGGAAACAACCTGTAAACTTAAAAATGTGGGCACATAAACAAGTTACTGAAGATCGAGGCATGACGACAGCTTCCCCCTGCCTTCTAGTTACTTTATACCAACCCCACTTGAAGTACCCTACCCCAAGAATACAGCATGTGTACAATTACACTAGAATACTTTACGTTGACATGTGTTGCTTGACAATAACTACCATGACACTGTCAGCAGAGTGGTACACTGAACAAGACAACAGCTAGAAAACCTAGATAAAGGGAAAGCTCCTCTTTATGGTGGAAAAAGGCACCTTAGAATATTAAATATTTTGGTAATGTCAAATACTCCGTTTCTGGTGGAGTTCAGGGTAGTACAATCCGACTTTAATTACTGAACTTTTCCCCTTTGTTTACTATTGGACACCAAGAGTGAAAATCCAGAGCTAATGGCATCGTGGCGATACCAGGAGACTGGGTTTCTAACGTGGCTGGTATGTTAACTACACTTTCATTTCCCATCACTTTTTAAGAAAGTAACAGTTAACTCAATGCCTTTTTTTATCTGGCATGTCTGCCTCTATCAGTCATAGCCTCTGCTACCAGCTTTGCAGTCTGCTGTAAATGAAGCTTTAGCCCAGCGCTACAGGTCATCAGCAGTGGTTCTCACAACGACCGCATTCTGGTGCGCTGAAGGTGATGCAGCCTCCCCTGCTGTCACACGGGTGAGCTCTTCTGAAAGCTGCTCATCACCTCAGAGCCCGCAGCCCCAGTTCTGAAACCAGCAGCATCTCCTGAGCGCGTGCTCGAGGAACAGGCCTACTTACAGAGCGTTAGCACGTGGAACAAATTACTGAAAGCAGCAGGAAAAAGCAATTCTGTAGCTGCCTCTATGGGAAAGCAGTTTTAATCAAGCCAATAACCATTCTGGTATGTGGGCTTAAGCCTATCTGTTTCTAGGAAATACATTACTACTAATTTCAGTTCCAGTTTGTATTTTCACATCTAGCATGTTAGAGTTATGGAGAGACACCAACACCAATTAATAGCTTGCAGTCATTTAAAAAAAATTGAATTGCAATTACATTCTTGTAGTAGTCGAGAACTGCGTAATTTCAAAAATTTACCACCAAATTCTTGATCGTATGCTTTGCACCATTACCTGAGCTGTAGTTCCTCCTTGTACTGTAAGCTGTCTGTTGGTTTTAAGTCATAGCTTTGCCTGTAACTTCAGAGCCTGTTCCAGCTGCTTACAGCTCTGGGATTTAGTGCTGTTCTTCAGGCGTACTTGGCTCCAGTGGACTTTCCCTATAAAAGCTACAGCATTACACTACCCAGTCTGCTGCACCCCCACCTAAAGGTATGTTCAGTAAATACTACCATTATTCCAGATGCTTGTAGAGTGTTAAGGTTTATTTATTTAACCTGTCCAAATGGGTGAATTTTCATTCACAATTATGATTTGTTTGGGAGAGCTAGAGACTGTAGCAGTTGTTTAAGATTTCTTTTTTTTTTTTTGCACTTAAAGAGGCAACTTCGGATTTTCCAAGGCGTAGGAACCTCACCTTCCTGCTCCTCCAGTCCTAACTATTTAAAAACTACAAATTAGAAAACTGCCAAGAAATTGTTCTGGTGGAAGCTGGCTACAAGTCCTCAGGCACCTGTTTCAAAATGCTCCTCCCTCGCATGACAGGGAAGGTTACTTCTACGAAAATAATTCTGCAGCAAAAGGAAATCCAACAGCTAAACAGATCATGTCTTCCATCAGCAGGAGTCACAGACTATTCACCTTTAAGACAGCTGAAGTGCTGCATAAATAACCAGGTTCCAAGAGAGTGTTTCCTAGTTGTTCTTTTTAATATATCACTACTTATCTATTCCTGCATGCGAAGGACACTCAAACCAATTCAAATTTACAAATTTAACAGAAGCACATCGCTGCACTAGCTTTAGATTCATACATCATTCTAAACAACACGGAATGAAACTAAAATAGAAACCTCAAAATCAAGAAGTGTCATAATTAGGGCATTACAGACCTTAATTATTTTCTTTTTTTAAAAGTCTTCCTCAAGAACAAAGGTTAAATCCACATATGTCTTTTAAGGCATGAAATCCAGAACTTGTCTGAATAGTTATTTTTTAAATGGAGTCTTCAATGGGACTGGATTCATCTGCTCCTTGCTGCTGTGAGGTAACATGTATCTTTACATTATACATGGGGAATATAGAGCACAAAAAGAACAGAACAGCAAGTACAAGAGATTGTATGTTCCCAGCTTTGATACTGTACAGTTATGAAACCAGTGCTTACACGGACACCATAGACTGAACAGAATGATCAACATCTCTGATGCTTTAGCTCTATCAAACCAGACATTTAAACCCAAGTCTGATTAGAGCTGCTCCCACATCCCGAGTTAATTACTTTAAGTCGCACATCAAAAAGCCAGAGACTTCAGCTAAGACAGATACAACACCCAGTTCTCCCAGAGTAGATCTTTCCATTGCTGTACCATCATATTTACTTTTGGTTTTTATACACACCTTCCAACTAGTTCAGCAAATGAGGCAAGGAGATCTTCAAATATTTAGTCAGAGACTGAAGGCGAGAAGCCAAAGGGAAAAAAGTTTAATTAAAGACAACTACGTCCATGAAAATCAAGACTAACTTAGGCATTTCTAGAGCGCTTTGACAGACTAATACGGGGCTTTATTTCTTGGAAGTGTGTGGTTGACAACCAAATACCATTTCTCTGCTGTACACATCATGAGACATTGATCCTTGTCCCTTTAGGGCAAAGACAGACACCTTGTTCCGTAACAGTTGACAGAATACACACAAGTCACCTTACTTTGTGGAAGAAGAGGTACTAGTAATTATTCACCTCCACATTCCTACTACCATTGCAAAGGTCATTCACTTCAGGCCTGAGCACAGCCTTACTGCGTACAAACTGTATTTTGTTCCTGTCCCAGAAGAAGCTCTGGTCAGAAGATGTAATACGAGACCTCAAGAAGACTTTTCTGAAATAAGCACCTGAACTACTGGAGTCCATAAATCCTGGCAATCTGCTCGTAACTCAGACAAATCTGGCAAGAGGTGTACAATGCCCTTTCCAATTCAAAGTGCACATAGCTAAAGTACTAATACTTCTTAAATTAAAAGGGGGGAAAAAAAAAAAAAAGAAGGAGGAAAAGCTTTCTACATCCTCTCCCTTGTCAAACTGCCAAAACTCTGGATCAGGCTGTCTCCTTGAGGGCAGAGTACCATTACGGAAATTTTAAGCCCAAGGAGTTAATTTGGTAAAAGTCCAAAGCAACCAAAAATGACTAGAACTGATTCTGCAATCCTAACAGCTGTTGATAATCTTCATAAAGCATACTTTTATACTGTGCGTTTCTTCAAAAAAATTGTTTTGGCATACATTTTAATTACTGTTTACTGACCAATGATTAAGATTATGAACTTGTGCTGCTTTATTGACCAAGTTGGGTACAACAATTTAAGCATCATTCTATCCCCTCCCTCCCCCAAAAATCCAGTTGTAGATTTGTTAGAGTTTAAAATTCACATTAACCACAAATTCATACAATCAACATCAGGCAGTGTGTTAATTTGTTTGGAATAGACAACTCCATCATCTCCCTTCTCAGAACATGCAGGGAGAGTCACCTTTACATTGCAAGTCTCATTGGTTCCATTGCTGGACTTCCTGCCATCCCTTTGAAAGCAAGTCTTTTGCCTAATCACGTCATGTCCTAGAGCGTGGGCTGTACGGCCAGTCACAGTGCACCACCGAGATAAACCCCCAAACAAAATCCAAAGAGAAGCCGCAGCGTTAACACTGTACAACAGGGCTGCCACCGCGCGCTTTCCCACAGGGGTCACAGTACTGGCCCAGTATCTGTCCAGCAGTACACGCCAGCCTTGACTAGACTAAGGTAAGCCGCACCACCTTTTACCAGCTGTCGGCAAAAGTGCAAGAGTAGCTTTACCAAGACCAGGGAAAACTGCAGCATAGTACAAAACAGTATGAAAGTGTTAACATTCCGTATTGAAGAGAAATTGCATGAGTTTTAAAACAAGGGCTTAAGATTACTGATGCCTCCAGAGTCTGTCGTCTGATTTAGTCATTTAAGAAATAATTACATCACTAATGTAAACAATATAAACATACCAAAAACTAAGTATGATTTAAATACATTTTGATGGTACAAAAGAAAAACCTGAAGGTGTCTGTACAGTTTTTACAACGTGGGAATTGCCAATGTATTTACAACATGAAAGGGCAAATACCATTTTTGTGCAGAGTAAAATTATCTGAAATAATGTCAATATAAAAAACAATATCTAGCGGTGTGAGGCACTCCTAAACATGGTGGTATTAACCATGCTTTCCTTTGGTACAAGTCCCATCGCTTGGAGAGCCGCAGTTGCTGCTGTGGCTTTAGCATGCTTCTTATTAAGGCTGGCAAAAGTAGGCCTATATTCATTTCCATTGACTCTCACCTGTTTATGAAAGAGGGGGGGGGAAAAAGAAAGTGTTAGAAAGTGCCTCTGCACTTCTGTTTCGAGGCAGCACTACAGAGCTCCTTTAAGCACATTCTCTATGTAATTCCTCTTTAGGGGTAGACAAAATCCACCTCTGGTCTGTAAGCACAATCATTTCCAAACAGTAACTGCTAATACAAGGTATTACATGAAAAAGAAAGCCCACATCGTAAGATAACTAAGGACAAAAATAACTAAATCTTGCTCACGACCTTCACAACAGTAAGGCTTAACAAAACACCTGTAAGTAAACAGCAAGAATATGATACCATATAGGTTAATAACTTTAGTAAGAAGTGGAATAGCATGTTTCTTGACAGACTTGCAGATTAATGTGCTTGAAAGATCTGATTTGGCCTTTACAGAAACATGACTTTGAAATTTCAGCATTGAGGCACTGCTTAGCAGTCCTCAGCCATGGCTGAGGTGGCTTATGTGTTTATATACAAATATAAACATGAATTTACATGAATTTCCACCACCTTTAATAGAAAAACCAACAGCAAACAAGGAAACTCAAACACACCTTAAAGATAAAGTGTTTGCGATGATCAGGCCCGCTATCATCCACCAACACAAATTCAGGTGGTGACCATCTTCTTTTGTTACAGATCTCCATCAACGCAGAAACTGGATGTTTACCTTAAAGATAAAATGTATTGCAAATTTCAAATTTCAAATTGCCACTATCAAAGCAGTAACTTTAAATGAGATTTTTTTTAGACAAGTAAGAATCTCACCTGAAAGATCCTTCATCACAACATAATGTCCAGATCTCTTTTGTGCCTTCTCTCCCACAGCAACAAGCCCTGAACAAAACACATAAAGTTTACATTTATGATTCCCACCTGATTTCTGTATGCTCATCAGTAAAGCAATAACATGTACCAGTGGAGATGAAACCTGCAGACACCATACAACTGTCTTTTCAGAAGTCTTTCAAACCTCCCTTTCATCCAGCATTTTTTTTCCCTCCATACTACACATAACGTCCTTCTCAACTGCTCCAGTAACTCTTAACAAGCCAGGTAGTAGAAAACTTTGTGTAGTCTCATGCAAGTCAGGAAACACCTGGTTTTCCGTGCCGCCTTTGGAGAAACACTGAACAGGAGATAAACTTAAGAAGTCTCTCATTCAGTGTTTGTTTTGTGCAACCCAAAAGTCATCCACTACCTTAACAGTTTGCCTCTAAGCAAATGCATACTAAGCATTTGAAGTACTTCCATTAAACAGCAAAAACTGTTACCAGTATATCCTTTTATGACACGAATAACACAGTGGTGTTCTTATAACATGTGCTCTCTTTACTTAACAGTATTCAAATATTTATCCTTTATGTGCAAGTTCACAGCCCAATTACTGTGATTTCAATTACATCTGAATATAAAGTAGCAGAAAAGCCCCAAGTCAATATGAAGAGCACAAGTTCCAATGGAAGCCACTGTGAAACACCCAAGCTGAACATTTTTCTTTTTAAAATCTTACAAGAGTAAGAAATAAAATGTAACAATTGCCAAAATGTATCAAATACCAGTAACCATGCCATGCTTAGGAAGTGGCTCAATGTTTCTTTCCATTCATTTTGCTATTACCTTAAATACATATAAACAAAATACCTGACAGTTTTTTCAGAATTTCTCGGACTTCAATCCTTCAATATTACTTTGTTTCTTACCTCAATTTGTTTCTGTTCCTGGCTGTGGTGAATAAAGACAGGGAGATACTGCAATTGTTTCCAGTTTCTTCCTGTTCCTTCAGCTTTTTTTGGTTGGTATTTTGTTTTGGTTTGCTTTAAAAGAAAATCCTTCCCTCCTTACCAGATTTTCATCCTAATATTCATGCAGCTCCTATGTACAGACTTCAAGTGGCATGAAACCCCTCATAGAAAACAATCATTGAATCAAATTTTCTTTTTTTTCCTTTACAGCATTTTACATCAAAAATAACCAAAGATTTCCACCAAAGAAGAAAACTCTTATGTCATTCTCTGCATTAATACTGTGTCTCCCTCACTCTAAGTCACTGACACTCGTCTTCCACATCTTGTCCCTGCTATGTCAAGACAGATTTTCAAAAAAGCTGCAACAGACTCCAACGAACTCTGCTGACGAACCAACCTTCTTTGAATACGAACAACCAACAATCTACTGGCTGACAGCAAAGCTCAAGAAGGCTTTGGTTTCAATGCTGTCTGTGAGAGAACTACAGATCTCACTCAGCGTCTGGAAAAAACAGGGTCTAAGGGAAAGGTATGGCAAACGCAGACAACTTTTTGGTTCATGTCTTAGTGCAGCCCACTGAGTAATTCCTCAGCAAACTGCTTGTTCCTGCACCTAAAAATAGTATTTTGTTTGGGGGATAAGTTCTAAAAATGTGTTTAAAAACCCCTACCAAACAAAAACAGGTTACTTAATAATAGACAGACTCCTTTTAAAAATTTCAGACTTTTCTTTAAACCTCTACCCAGAACTTAAAAAAAATTGACTTTTTATACATTTAAGCATCAAAGAACACTAATGTTTGAAGAAGCTTTTCAGCTACTCGCCATAAATGTATAATCACTGTTCAGTTGCTTCTTTGTAATGCATGAAACATCCTGCTTCTTCATAATGCAAGTTGTCTCCCCATATTACAGACTTGGTTGGCTCAACACTAAAAAGTATTCTTTATGAACACAGAACACTTAAGATTTTTTTGTTGAAATTATCAGATAAGATTGCATATATGATAATAATCAAGTATTTTAAAACTATGAAATTAAAGCAAAGCCCAGCCATCACTAAGGTTATCAGTATTTTCAGATGAATCTATCACATGCCAGAAGAGGCATCCTTCAACTCCATCTAACATTTTTAATTGTTATTCAAGACCGAGCGTTCTGAAGCAGAAAGAGCAAACTATCTGTTACAGAATGCCCAGCACAACGAGGACCTGATCCTGTCTCAGGCCTTAAGGCTTGATCCTTGAAACTTCGGTATCAAGTTCTGCAGGCATTAAGGAAATTCCCATCAGAAACCATGTGAGGATCCTGGGGCACACTTCTAGAACTGGAAACTTGAGCTGTGACACAGCTGTGTATCACCAAAATGTTTTTAATGTTCAAAATGTTCACAGGTTGTGCAGCAATACTGCCTCTTTCCCATGATGTGACAAGAAGCAAGCAACATAATGAATAGGGCTAACTCTTCCCTCCTCACCACAAAAATCCATCTACGGATTGCTATGCAGCCTGCTTGAGAAAATAATACTGAAACTGACTGTTTTCCATTTCCTCCCTCTGACTGATCTTAATTAAGCTAAACTGAAGGAACTCTTACCAGCAATGAGAACTTTACAAAACAACATCTACAAAGATCACAGTAACTAAGTAAAAGTAACAAAAGTAACAAAATGTTTTTCAAAGATTTTCTTGGCAATCACTCTGTCACCAGATATCCTTTTTTTTTTTTTCCCTTAGGAAAAACAGCTGAAAAGCAAGTTTGGTCATTGTTTGTATAAAACAAAGATGTCTGTATTATTGTGTTCTGTACTTTGAGACTGTTGCACTTCTCTATTTATAAAACCATATTATGCTGCTAGCAGGTCTTTAGAATTTAGAAAGCAATGGATATTTTCATAACTTAGGCTTGCTTTCTCATTTTCTACCTCTTTGCACTTAGTATTTAAATATTTAAATTACATTTTCACTGCTAGCTTGGTCACCTAAGCAGTATTGAACTATCTCTGTATTGAGAACTACGACTGACACCTGAAGATTCCTCCAACAGCAACTCTGCAAATGAACTTTGCAACATTTGCATTTATATGCTTTGTTTTCTTCCAAGCTCAATTATGAGCATTGACAAAAGCTAATACAAACCCATAATTCAAAGTATTTTTATGCTTTAATATTAGATGTGACCTATTTAATATATGAAAGGTTCCCAGTTTTTAAAAAGTATTTAGGAGAACAACAGTAAGAATTTGTTTTCCTGCAGTCAGTGTTTAATTGTTTATTTTGGTAACGTGTAATAGAACAATTAAATCATAAATCTTGACTCCTGAAATTCTGCATCTTGTATTTAAAATGGTTAGAACTTGTATAGGAATTTCAGATGGAAAATTTTCATAAACATTCACTCTGCAAACAGAACTCTTGCTGAATGTGCTGGCGAGGTAGCCATCATATAAACCACGCTGCCAGCTTAAGCAGCAGCACGCTGCCTGTAAACAAAAGGATAGTTCTTTTGAATCAAATGAGGCAAGTGCAGCAGTTCTCCACGTGTGGCCATGGACTACATAAAGAAGAGGAGGAAAGATTGCTAAAGCAATCTTTGGAAACGATCAGGGAAACATCATTGTAGTTGAGCAGAGGTGCCTGCAGCAGGATCAAACTAGGAGATGGAACAGCAGGGAGATCAGATGGACAAAAAAGGAAACAGAATCCATTTGGAAGACCTAAAAACATCAGTATGACAGTCTATTCGTGTCAGGACTTCAGCTGAAAGGCAGCAGTAACTCAACTCTGTAGCTCTCACCTCTGTCCTTCACCCCAGTTTAAAACTGATCGAGCTATTCCATCTTCTATTCTGCCCCACTCCTGCTTCAGCCACTTTTCCTAGACCAACCACAATGGCTTTTCCACAATTCATTTCCCTGTCCGTGCCTTCTCCACACATCCAACTGAAGCACATCCCTACTTTAAGAACCACTGAGAAGCAATTTTTAAAATGGAAGTGAAGGTTAGGGAAAGTAAAAGAACGTATGGAAGAGTTCACAGGCATAAGGACAAAGCCTATATACATAATCCAGGGCTTGAAACACTAGCACCAGAATCATCTACGTCATTCTGTTAATTTCTACAGTGAAGCTGTACCCAGAAAAAGCTTACTACTTCGAAGTTATTTTGCCTATCTCCAAAACAGACCTGAGAAGTTTATACTGTCATAAGACATTTAAGGAAGGGCTTACCTTTTCGATCTGTCTTAAAATCGACCATAATAGGCTCAACGCTGCCTTCTTTGTTTTTTCCAAGCCCTTCTCCTTCTCTCCAGCCCATTTTTCTCATCAGTTGAGCTCCCATTCCTCCAGTTACAGGGGCTGCTCTTAAGAACTGATCCTATCCAGAAAAAGAAGAGTAAAACAAGTCCTGAAGTTAGCACTGGGATTTTAAAAAGTAAGTGGGAGCTTCCAAAAAATGTTTCTAACAACCCTTCACAGACTCAATTAAAAAAAAAATACACCTTAGCTTTATATACATTAACATCTTGTATAAACCAGAATTCACGCAGACACACGAGACACAAATCAATATTTTCAAAAAAGAACAACTTAAGAAAATTCTAATGCAATCCAAAAGTGGCAAGTGACCCATTTCAGACATATGTATTTAATAAAATGATAACCGTCCATTTTTTAAACACGCTACTTTGGTTCCAATGCATCTCTTCTCATCTTGTGAAAGGAGGCAGTGTTAACTGTTTAACTGGCAACATGTGTGCCAAGTGTACCTAGTTATTGAACAAAATACAAGCACATTTAGTAATGACATTCACACAGTGTTTAGGCATATTTTAAATATAAAAAAAAAAGTTTCCCCATTTTATTATACAGCAGTTGCACATTCAAGTTCTACTCTGAAAATCCACATGAAACATACAGGTTTTCTTTTCTTTTTTTAAAGGAAAAAAGGCGCTTAGCCACACAGTTTAGCAGCAGTAGTCTTCACATTCTTTCAAATCATCATTAACATAATAGTTGTTAAATGGTGAAAGCTTATAAACAGAAATTTTAAAAATCTGTTTTGATGTAAAGAACTTTAAAAACTCCTTAAATGTTTACGTACCTAGGCCTCGATGGCCGCAGTGTTGTGAATAGTAGGGCTGGCATTGACCGTGGCAAGAAGGCAGCTACAAGGATTTGACCCTGAAACAAGTTTCCATATAGAGGGGTGAAAGTTCACAGGTTATTCTGTGAACTATCATCTCTCTTCTGCCCCCCCCGCTGACCCAAGTAAGTAAGTCAATCATTTCCATCACAGCAAAAAATTGCTTGCCTTAAAATATACAAGTTTACACACTGGCACTGATAAGTCCATCAGTTATTTTGCATAGTAGATTAGATGACACAATGCCTAGTATTTTTGTGAAAATTTTACTTACTATCAAAGCAAATTAATAGAACATTTTTTTTTTTTCCTCCTTATTTTGAGTTGTGCTTGCAAAAGTAAGCATTTCCCAGATTTGGACAAAGGACTGATGGGTCCTTGGTTTCGATTTGTATGTAAACAAAACCAGAAGTCTTACTTTTGCAAAGACTAAGGATAATATATTTTTAAGGGGATTTCAAATTGGCAAATGACACACACTAATGATGCATATGTGTGTAATCCCTTCTATACATGGTGTTAAAAAATTTTAAAAAAAAAAAAAATTGCTGAAGATTCTGGGAAGACTTCTCCAAATATTTACCTATTAAACAGTAAATACCTATCAATCATGCAACTGGATGCTGCATTCAGTAACAAAGTGCTCTGATGGAAGAATAGAGAGGCTAAGTGCACCTCTCCAGTTCAACTTTTTTCTGACTGGTGCAGACCATGCAGTGTGTGTGTGTGTACACAGAGACAATCAGTTTCTTCGATACGAACTGCCTCAATCTACACACCTAGAATGGCTTTTACTTACTTCCATTTTCATCCTCCCCTCTCTTTTCCAGGAACCTCTCATAAGAAAAGGGCAACCATGCCGAGAATGATACAAACCCCAGTCAATGTCACCCTGGGTTCCGATTCCTCTTTTGTACCTGCTTTGCAATGATAGAATTTTCAAGATAAACATCTGTTTCATTATCACCAGCGTGTATTCAGTTCACAAATGATAGAGTGCAATTTCTTGATGAGGTCATTTTAATGTTACACAGCTTTCTCATCACATCTGTAAATGTACTAATTCAGGGGTTAGGAGTGGTGTAGAAAGGAGAGATCAGAATCAAAATATTGCTATTCGTAGTTAAAAATCAAAGCCCCGAGTTTTCCTATATAGGAATTACCGGAGCCTGAACAAATTCCAAATACCGGAAATAAAGAGAGTTCTAAATTCCAAAGTGCAGCTTATTAAAAACACCTCTTCTAATGTGTGAATTCAGAACCCTACCTGATAACTTTAGTAGGAATTTTTTACACTATGCTGACTTCTAAACATGTACAACAGAACCAAGACAACAAGGAATTAGAAATGAAAGTTTTGTTTCCATTACGGAATAGCTGTACTTGTGCATCACACTAAAAGGCTAAACGACGTAATTCTGGTACCAATACAAAAGGAGCCAGAAGAAGCCTATTTTGATTCAGTTTACTGAAGAAGCAAAGGCGGCCTACAGCAGGGGAGAAAGTTCTTCTTTCAGTTTTGTTTTGGGTTTGGCGGGGGGGGGGTGTTAAATAATAAACTGAATCTAAATCTTTAATGTTACCTGTACAATTATATTCTCTTTAACTATTTTTTTTATAATTTAATGATAGACAACTTCACTCAGCCCATGATTTAATAGAGTATGGGTAAAAACTAGTACTGTGTTTGTAATTACATTTGAAAACGTAAAAATAGTAGAAATGTAAACAAGATATACACTTCTTTTCTCTTTTAAAAATCATAAAAGGCCGAGCCTCACAAAACTGTTTAGCAGCTATGCACCCTTGCAGATCTGGCCTGTAAGGAAGATATCGAAGAGTAATACAATAAACCCCTAGGCTTCTAAGTACTTGGTTACTATTGTTGGAATTACTAATTATTTACAAAATAATAGTTCTTTTTCATTCACTAATCTCAATTTGAGTAAGTCTGCATGAAAATTTAGTATCATTTTTCGCATCTTTTGATCTCTAAATTCAATGAAAGATCAGCCAAATAAAGCACACTTCCATTCTGCCAGCAGATGGAGACAACTAATAAGCCACAGTCTTGTGTCAACACTTTTTCTTTAAAAAGAAGGCTACATGGTAAAACCTGATCACTTAAGAGGGTTTTTTTAGTAATTTTAATTGAAACTCTTTCGCTTTTAAAGCTACGTTAGGGCAACAAATTTTGGGGGACACGAATGCCTGAATTAGCATTTAAGGGCTTAAACAAGCAAACACAAAAAATCACACCTGAAAGATGATTTTACAGGTTTTTTCTGAAACACAATACAAGTTGGACAGTCACTGTTGTTTTAACTGCAACAGCTATCTTTAGGAAAAGGATAGCATACAGTATTGAACCGAACAATCTATAAAACAGCACCTGCAACATCCAAAATACTAAAGCCATAATTCTTTGAGAGATCTTAAAATACATCATCAATTTCTGTTCTCAGAAAAGAAAATACCCATTCCTTCTCAAAATGCTGACATGGCACTAGAACAGAAGTTCTGTCAGAAGGAAGGTTTATTTCTTTTGAACAATAACTTATTAAGCAAAAGACAACAAAGCCTTAAAGGCACTAGGTGAACGGTTTCAGCTATAGCACAACGGGCTGTCTTAAAGATTACTTTAAGACTAACTCCGAAGAACAACTCCAAGTCAAGTATCAGGAACAAGCATCTATCTTTGGCAAAACTTTTGCAAAGTAGCTGAATTTTCCATTAAATAAACTGGCACTTTTAGCAGCAGCCACGTTCCTTCCCCAACACAAGAGGAAGAATACCCTTCTGAAGAATCCCATCAAACGCCTTACAAAAGCTATACTCACAATCAGCTTCCAGATTTCTGTTCCAGCTTTTGCATACCATCAGCAGAAAGCAAGCTGAGGACAGCTGGAAAAACGACATTTTGAGGACTGAACAGGGAGCCAGTCCAATATAACTAACATACAGTTGATTTGCCTTGCCATGTGGCCTTCATTTCCAAGGAAAGCTCACTGTGTCATATAAGGCAATAAGAATACAAGTACTTTGATAAGTAGCCTTGTTAGAAGGTCAGCAGTCCTTGTGCAAGTGACAATCACAAGACTTAGTTTTACCTCTATCGTTAGCGTTTTACTCATCCGCTATGACTGTAGAAGAATGGAAGGAACGCTTTAACTTTTCAGAGTTGCTACACAAAGCAAAGCACTCTAATGGCCATAGTAAAAGTGTGTGTCATGCTTTAGCACAACTGAATGAAACAGATCCCAAGCATTACCCTATGCATGTAAAACGTTGCAAAAACCTTGTTTTGCAGAGCAAGTTTATGCTACAGAATTAAAATCCAGAAACAAGTGGTGAGTCTGGGAAAGTCTGAGTAAACAGACCTTAACAGAATTTGCCTGGAAAAAAATATTTGACCACTTCCTCTGATTTGACATTTATTCAGCAGCATAGTGTATTTGTAAGAAAAAAGGAAAGAAAAAAAAGAAACAACCTCCAGAACAAGTCAGTCATATTTGTGAACTGATTACACCAATGCTGATAAACTGAAACAGAAACCACTTTTCAAAAGAGAAAGATAATATTGTTCATAAATCTGTTTTAATAATACAAGAAACCTAACAACATATTATTCCTTTATGAATACTGCTCAGAACCCTATGCATGAACATCATGAATTAGCGCATTATTTAGAAAAATAAACCATACTTCTAATTGGTATGTCGACCATTCAAGTATGCCACGTTAACCACTTCAGTAACTAATTCCCTCAAAACTTTATCGAGGTAAAATTGAAATTGCAGGCATATTTTGGTTTGAGTACATATTACCTCTCCAGAGTAATTTTTAAAGTACAAAAAAAAAGCTGAAATCCAAGAAATGCAAAGTGAAGACAGCACTTATCGAACAAGCTCCCCCAGTATTTTAATCGCTCTTCTGTTTTGTTGCATCTGTCTAGTTTTGTGATTATCTCTGTCAAGCACAATGTCTGTACATGTTCTAATTCTTTGTTTAATGATACACAAATAACTAGCTGACATGGGTTCTGTTTCTGCTAAAGAGTGCACAAGTCCTCTTATGGCAATCTCCCATGCAAAATGCTTTCAGTAAACAACATCTTCAGTCAGAAACGTGCATTAATTTTCACATACAGCATACCCCAAGAAACTCCACAGCCCTACTAGCAGATGAAAAATTAAAAAAAAAAACAACCTAGTATTTTTTATGTTAAAATGCATTTTCTTAGGACAAAAAAGGGAGTACAAGTCTGACTTCTCAGTGCTACATTGCATAATTAACAGGAACTAAGTTACACAACTTCATGTGCCTAAGTAAAATACAACCTGTACTTTGCATTTCATGGTTGATTTGCATTCATGTCACTGAGAAAGATAACATGCATTCATAACCCATTATCCCTACTTCACTTTTTTCTGTGAAATCATTCTCTAACCGCAAGATGTGACTCCACATTAAGCTCATCAAACCTAAGTTTTGTGAAGGCTTTCACAGGCCCCACCATTCCTAAAAAACACAGGGTGAGTCTTGTGTAGCCCCTAAGGCATTTTGTAGAGGGCGCGTGACTGTAACTACTTGTCATCTCATGAGTTTGATGGCATGTGCATGCGAATATGGAACCTGGAAAGAGCGAAAGAAGTCAAGCTGAGGAATGCCAGAGCAGGAAAGAGGAGAGTGTCCTCATCTTCTTCACCCAACAACTCTTCTTGTTTCCAGTAGCAGCCTCCTTTCTGACAAACCACATGACGCTTGCTAGGGAGGACGTCTACTACTGCAAACCACTATATTTTTACAGCTATGGGAAGACAGAAGTGTTTCTGTGGCTCACTTTTATTTCTAGAGTCAACAAAATGTTCCAACGTGCTTCTGCTCCTCACAGCAGTCATGTCCACAAGCCAGAGACCAGACTCTTTTCTCATTTCTCCCTATAAAGCGTTTCGTTGTTCTTTTGTTGTTCTGTTTGTTGTTTTTTTTTTTAAAGCAGATCACGGAATAAAGTTAAAAGACAGAGGGAAAGCACACTTGCCTTCTCCACTTAATTTTTGTTAGCGGACACTCCGGTACTGTAAGGCACAGAAGACCACCACAGAACCTCAAGGAATGAAAACAGGATGAGAAGAGGAGATTTGGGAAAGAGATGATCAGAGATGCTCCCTTTCCGCTGCCTTGGGAACCCACTCAAGGTATGCAGAAAGGGAAAACCCTCCTATGTTTGTTGATCTCTTTCACAAGCCTCATGGTGGAAAAGCTCTCCTTTTCTCACCAATACATCCCTGCTGAGTGCTTTGTATTTCTAAGTTTCTCTGCCAGGGACAATTATTGTACTCATCAAAGCCAACATTTTATTACAATTTAAAAAGTTAGTAATTGTTAAAATAAGGCTCTATCGTCTACACTCCGTATTAATACTGAGAAGAGCTCAAAAGATTCCCACCTAGCAAGTAACTTGGATCTCTGTGTTGCCTGGCTCTCTGTATTGCTTGGCTATATAAAGTGGAAAAACAAGTTAGTGAATCTTGGCAAAAATATTTCTATTTTTAGGATGTTGTATTTCCAGACTTTTGTGTTCAGTTTACACCATGTTTTATGGAAAATTCTACCTAAGCCTCAAATCTAACCTACCAGTTTTGAGGGTTGTCTAAACACTGCGTTCTGGAAGGATAAGCAGATACAGCGTATGCTCAACTACATTACTTGCAAGATTGACCACCATAACCCATTATTCTTTTTGCCTGAAAGGTGGATATTGCTTGAATTCCTCAGTTCTACTTCTTGAAAGAGAACCAGTTCAGTATTCATTTTCAAAGATGAAGCATGAATTATTAAACTTATAAAACGCATGTATGTATGACGCACCACACCCCAAAAATAAGTATTACTCGGCAGTAAGAGGTTAACTATTTCACTGTAGGATGACATTAAACTTATTAACCCAACTGCAACTCCTGGTTTAATACTCCAAATCTTTGGCTCACAGAAAACCCTGGCAATACAAATAAAGGCAAAGTAGCAATCAGATAGAACCAAGTCAAACAAAATGGCAGTTTGGGTCTTGGTTCACTGAAGTTGATGCCAAAACATCACTGACTTCCACAACATCAGGATCAAACCTTGCCTGATCCGTCCCAATCCCACAAAAGTAGTGATGGACCTACCACTGCAACCATACCAATATGCATGAGTGTCATTTCAGTGTAAGGTAGCAGTATATATGAACCAATCTGACTCAAATACCAGACGCACACCTTGTTGAAGTACTCTATGTCATGAGCAACACCTTAATTCACAACAAAATGGACACAGCAGCAGCAAGTATCTAAATTGATCAAAGACAATGATTTAACTTAACCTGTTGTATTTGACACATGCATTACCATAGGTTTTTAAGGCACATTTTTTGCATTTTCCGATACTTCCACTGCTATTAAAAATGCGATAGTTAGACAAGTATGTCTGCATAACTTCTACCTTTCTAATCCATGCTTGGGGACCACTGTTGGTCAGCTCATCTGAGGACAGTATCTGTGCTCCAGTACTTCCTGTGAACTGGCCAGGTATGGAGTTTGATTGAGCCCAGGCGTCAATCTACAAAATAAAAATCAAACATAAGACCAAACTAAAAAATTGCACATTCTTCCTTTGCAATTTTCTGTTGCTTCTCAGTAATTTTCATAATGATTCCTCAGTTATGTTTAGTGCTCTGTTCATTAACACTCATTTGTAAGCAGACACTCCAAAAAGCTGAGCATCTTTCTATGTTAACCCTAAAGCCTGAGCTCAAAGTCTAGCAAGTTCACAGTTCATGGTTTGCTTATCCTCAGAATCAGTGTTATGAAGTGCAAAATAAAGGCAGAATTTTTAAACATGTACCCATAAACTGGGCCTCCAAAAATCTGTTCTTACATACGTAAGAAAAATCAGCTAGTATGAAAGGTAAACAATTACTTAATCTTTAAGTTCATCAAAATGCTGATGAAAAAGTGCAACATACCTGTTCCTGTGCACGATTTAACATGCACATGGCCTCTAAATCAAATGTGTTTTCATTAAGCCTTTTCTGAGCCACTGCTCGATCATTCATAGCTGTAGTTATGTCTACGCCCTAGGAAGAAAAAGATTATTTTTAAAAATACATCGGACCACAATAATATCCATTTGATCTGGAAAAAGCTGTTGTAGAATAAATGCTACAAATACTAGAAAGTTGTTTTACACATTGAATAGTTGGTTTGATATATAAATAGGCAAAGTGAAAAAAATCCTGGGACTACTTGTTAAGTATATACAATATGGGCTTTCCTAAACAAATACAGTATCTGAAGTTAAAGTGTAATACCCTGATAATTTAGTATCACCTGTACATACAAAATATCAGAAGAATTCTTTTCAGAGAACTACTCTGGTCACAAAAAGTTCTAGCGTATAATACTTAAATAGAGAAGCATATTATTGTTCAATGGAATCTTATTAACGAACAGAATTAAATGTAATTTAGCTAAGAATTTAAAGAAAAAAAAAGCCTTCATACAGAGCTGTTCATGTTAGCACCCTACTATTAAGTCACACTAAAACTTCAAGTTATATGTATTAAAAAATTACAGCAAGAATCACATGTATTCTATTAATTTGGCTTTAGTGTTTTAAATCTTAATCTTCAGCCTAAAACAGACTTGCATAAAAGTAAAACCAGACTGGTAGCTCATAAAAATGACTGTTTTGGAAACGATTATTTAGATCTGTGCTGCTGAACTAGAATAAAATTTAAAGAAAAATAAATTTGAAACCATCTCACACATACTAATCAGAATGATTTGGGTAAAAATATGGAGCAAATGAAGAAGCTCAATGGAAAACCTCTACTCTGTGTGCAAAGCAATCAAGAGAGAAAACCAAAACATTTGGGGATATAAAGATGTAACAAATTATGGCTCTAAAATTACTTGTGCCTTGTTCTTCAGATGATGTGCATTTTATGGATCATTCTGTTTTGAAAGGAGAAAAAGAACAGTGCTCAAAGACAAGTGAAATTTCTTTGGAGATGAGCATGTGAAGGAGAATGAACGGGCTGGAACTGTTTGAAGCACAGAAGAAATTCAATAATCAAAACAGCAGGTGGCATATAAACATAAAGTAAGTCAATGGTTTAATTTTTTTTTTTAGATTTATATTACAAAAGACTTGCATCTTTTGTTAGTCACTATCTCATAACCTCAGCCTCTCACACATTATACTAGAATAAAGGGCCAGTAGGAGAAACTAAAACTAACTTAAAATTGACTCTGCTGAACAGAAAAATACAGTTAATCCACAAAATCCCATCACAGGAAGCAGGTCAAGAATTTAGTAAATATTGAAAAACAGTAAGAGACAGACACAAATGTCTACAATTGCATAAAACGGAGTAATTATTTTTGTACTCTGGCTATTACCTCTTACTTTAAGATGGGGGATTTTTTTTGTTTATTGTTTAGGACAGAAAGTATTTCTGTTGGGAAGATCATTACTGAAACATCTGGCACTGACCAAGACAGACTTAAAATCCCAGAAGTCCTATGTGTCTATGAAACTGACTTCAGTGTTTATTTTTTGTCCCAGCTGACAAAAACACAGACCATAAACAAGGCACAAGAAGAATTAAAAGATTTTCTACGGATCACCTAGCATGACAGTCACATATGTAAAAGAATGCCTGTTTAAAATACACACTTCCTTGTGTTAATAACTTCCCCTTATATAATTAAAATAATTCTTTAATGTTTTGTTTGTGAAACTGGTTCAGGAGATAAATAAAAGTTATTCTACTCACCAAAAGCTTCAATCCAGCAATACACATAGGCATGCAAGTAGTCCACTGAAACCACATTGGGACCACTCACATACTTAAACATACATGTGTACTTTAGTGCTTTACCGGACTGGGGCCTATTAGTAGATACCCTGGTTAGTTAGAATTCCCATACATTTTCCCCACATGGTCAGTCACCATTTTGGAGACCATCATGGCTTTCTATTATGTCAAGACACTCGATGGCAGCTTTGGATCTTGGAAAAAAAAAAAATCTCTGCTTGAAGTATGAAAAGTTGTTATTATTTAGTCAAGTAAAACAATTTCAAGTTCAGCATGCTATTCTCCATTAGAGTTCTGCCTTTCCAATCCTGACTTTCAATAACATTTTCCCCACAGACAGAAATCACAAATATTGAAGCCAGAAGGAAGAGGCTGACAATAGAAAGCAGGCATTTTTTACACCAAATGCATTTACTACATTTTTAGATCACGATGGCTTCTCTGCATAAGTCACCTGTGTATACTTGAAACTTAAATAGAACACTTCAAACTCTACACTTTCAGACTTTCAAACATAGCTTCTTTGTCATAGGCTTCTCTGGCTTCTAGAGACATGCTGATACTTCAGATTACTCAAGTCTTTTTCCTCCATCTCCTACTACCACAAACAACTATATTAAGAGCATAATGTTTTATTATACCAATTTGTAATATATTAGCAGGGCCATTTTGGACTGCTTATTCCCGAAACTAATTTTGTGACTTGAATAAAAACATAACAACAAAACCAATTACGTATTTTTTAATGTCAATATAGACTTGCATCAGAATTGTCACAATCAGATTTCAAAATCGGCAACAATGAATGGAGGTAAATTGTACGTCAAACTCCCTGAGGATCCAAGCACACTCCCCCACTACCCTACTCCAACAGCAAGGGAGCTTATCTGGCTTATCTTGCTCAAAGGAAGCCATTTCATCCACAGAGTCCTCACAAGCATTTAAAAAATTAAGCAGAGCAGCACTCTGTTACCGTTCAGACTCCCTGGAGAAACATACAGGGATTCTGCTACTACAAGAGTATTCCTGTGTACCAAAAGTAAGGATTGCCAAACCCAAGGGGATGGTATGCTCTGCTGTCAGCTAATGACCCTTGAAATCACCCTTAACACAAACCAAGTTAAGGTAATTGCAAATAAAAATATTTATTTACAAAATATAAAAACAGACAACATTGTTACAAGCATTTATAAAGATACACGTGACAGAAAGGAAAGAAAGTTATGTTTAATATATTTACTCCAATGTCAATTTTTAAGGCCTCTTCTACATAATCAATACACAAACCATCACTGCTTAGCTAACCCAATTCGTCAAGGACACAAGCCCAGCGTCGTTGGCAACCTGGATGCAGACATCTACAGAGCTCGCCTGAACTATGAGCATATCATTAACCATTTGAAGGACAAGACTTTTTAACACCTGGTAAAAATGCAGCCAAACGTTAGTATACAGTGTTTCTACGCTCTGGACTTTTTACATATACACTAGTCATTGGGAATGACATTCTGCACAAACATTTCAGAATGTCATGAACCACTAATAAGACAAAGAGCAAACAGCAGTTACCATCTACACTGAGGGAACAATGAATTGGGTGCCTGACCATCAAACTCTGAGGTACAGCGTGAAAATGTCTGTTGAATGAGTTATATTCACTGTGCTTTTGGTGCTGTAAAAGAGACAGAAGAAAATACCTTCTGTGCTTCAGGAAATGAATTGTACAATCGTAGCAATTTCTTGAAAAACAAAATGCACCAAGTGGAAAGACTGTTTCATCAGAAAGTGATGCCAAGGCTTTTTTGTTTATTTGCTTTGAAAGGTATGCGAACAAGTCTTCAGATGGAGTGAGGTAAAGATCAACTTGAAAAAATTTACACCTGCCTTAAATATTTAATTTACTTAATTACAAAAACCCCACAAAATATCCTTTTGGAGACATTTCAAGGGGAAAAACATTTCCTTTTTTTTTTTTAGTTTCTTATACATACAATTAGATTTTCCTTTGGAAGGCCACATGGAAGACAACTATGTAAGAAAATGTGATTGTAAAGCTAAAAAATTAGTATATACATCCAGATGAAATGGCAGTTTTAGAACTACTTTCAAATCTATTTTTAATGGATTACATTTCAGTGCAATGTTATTGCTCTGAGATTGGTAGGACAATTTTAATTATTATTAAATTTACAAGTACTAAAGTCTCAACTTAGGGTATTAACCTCTGCAAGAAATTGGACAAGAAACTTGCTTTTCATCTTCAAGCAAAAGTTTAAATTCTATTGAGACAAAGAAGTCACTAGCTGACAAAAGCACACAGTATGGGTACAGGTTGCTTTCATCATTGCCCACGTGAGTATGGCAACCAAATTTGAAGACTGCAGTAGTTCAGATAATTAGCTTATTGAAGTGTTAGATACTACCTATGTAAGCGTTTTTTTTTCACAGACTGCAATTTCATACCAGACTGACCAGGTAACGGTTTTGGTTTTCTTATATGATATGCTTTCCTTCCCTTCCTTACCTCAATGGATGGTTTGGGGAAAACATCATCCTTGCTTTCTTCTTTGCCTTTTTCAACTGGAACCCATTCTCCATAGACACTATCTGCTTCTTTTTTCCTATGTTGAGACCCAGATGAAACAGGAAATTCCTTTGACAGGCTGACCTGATTTTTTGGTTGTGGTGGTGGTGCTGGTTTTATGCTGGGAGTCTTAAAGAAATAAAATGAGAAAAAGTTTAAACTTGAAAACACACAATGCTCAGAATATGTCTTTGAGAAATGATTTATTGCATACACTTGATATTAAGTTTTCATAAAACAGTCATCCTTCTTACTAACATCAAACTGAAAGCCTTTATAACAAATCATTTTAGCACAGCCCTAGAAACACACAAGCGAGCAACAAATTGCAGTATAGAAGATGAACAGCTAGAAGCTAAAAATCGCTTAAATCAGCTTCAGCAGCCAAAAATACGAAAAACCTCACTCCCACAATTAACCTCCCTGCTTTCCCTCCACCCCACCATAACGAGAACAATCTTAATCTGCCACAGATGCATTTTGTAATGGAAAGCTCCAAAATAAAAATCCTGGGCAGCAAAAAACATTGGCTGTGATATCCACATGATGATAAAAAGCTCTACATTACTATACATAGAGAAAGCAGTTTTCAACATTTTGTTTTCTAGTTTTTGATTATTTTTTAATAGTAGCATGAATCTCAAAGCAAATTAAGTCTACGAGGTTGTTTTCCTTAGAAAGTATTGCTAATATATTAAGAGTCCACAGAAATCTCTGACAGGTTCCTCTTCTAAGAGGCAAACAGATCCCAGACAGCTCACAATATTGGGTAAACTCCTACTATGAAAGGAACATGGATGGGAATGGTAGTAAGACTAGAATCCAGAAAGAATGGAAAGAATGATACTAAAAGGGTCAAAACTGTGGAAAACAGGCAGAGCAGCCCATAACCACTGAACGACATTCCTCTTTGGAGCCTGTACAGAATCCCAAGGTTTCTTGAGCTTTGTTGTATCACTTTCTAATGGTACAATATAAAGTATAAATCTATTTCTACCTTACATTTTACGTAAATATGTATTTCTGCTTGTTTTGTGTACGCCACAAGCTATATATATATCTGTACATAAAAATATAAATGCTATTTGTATTTTCACTTAGCATATTAATACTTTTATAGTACTACACCCTGCAAAATTTGATCAGACTTCCATGGGCACAAAAAACTCCCAAAGAGACAACTGTTTAAAAAAAAAAAAAAAAAAACTAGACAAATTCTAATCCATGCTTCAAAGCATATGAATCCCAGATGTGTTTAAAGAAACACCCTCTCATTTTATGCTTTCCAACATGCTCATACCCAGAAAGCGTCAACACAAGCTCTGAGAGAGTCAAAAGCAGTCCTCCAAGGAGGGGGTTCAATGGGACATTTAGACCCTCTTAGTAACAGGCAACATCAGTGATCCTCACTCTTAACACAGCATTACTTATCTATTGGCTAATCTCAAAACTAACAGAACTTTTTTCTCCTTTAGTGAACACTTGAGATCTACTGAAGCAGCAGACATACAAGATTTGGAATCTGCACAAAGCTGATGACATCATCTTATTTAGAACACCTCAAAATGCTGTTAGAATTTTGTTGGGGGGTTTTGTTTGTCTTTTAAAGAAAAACAATGCTGTTCCAAAAGCATTTCCCAATTCCAATGCTTTTCGTAAATTTATACTGATATTTTTACAATGCAAACATGAAGTAAAACGGATCCTTTTTATTTTATTTAAGCTTTAAAAGCTGCAAAGACATTAATGAAAAAAACCAGTTTCAATCCATTTATGGGAACTACCACAGTTTCATAGACTGCAGATAACAGTACTTTTAACAACATCCCAGTGCAATTTCACCAAGATTATCAATCCCTGTTTAATTTCTGTAAAATTACTTGCATTGTTTAAAAATAACCACAAGTTAAAATATTGAAAATTAAAGAAGTACTCACACTTAAATTGAAAAAAATAGGTTTGGGTTCGCTGAGCTTAAAAGGATGATTATAGAAAGGACGTTCTTCCTCCTCTTCATCAGAAACATGAGGTTTGTTCACTATCACATCATCTGTGCTTTGAGCAATCTTCTTGCATTTCTAACAAAAAAAAAAAGGGGGGGGGCGGATATGACAGCTCTGAATAAACCTCGACTTTCAACCAACACATACAAAAAAAACATTTTTACAAAAAAGTGTGGTTTTCTTTTCTGAAGCAGGAGGTATAATCTGAGAAAATCTTTTAGCAATGTCGTATGTATTTTTGACATTTTACACACATTATCAAACACCTACCTAGGTTTGCTAGGCATTCATGCAGTGAATAATTTCACAGACATAAGATTTCAATACCATACTGTAAAACTTGCTACAGTGCTAGTTGCAGAATGTGTGTCTAAGGCTGCAAACATTCCAGAGTAGGAACTCACTGGTTGTTTGGCATCCCACATAACTAGCATATTGCAGTCTGATAGAAACTTCAGTATAACTCACGAAACTACTACATAGGAAAACCTAAGAACTAATAGTTACTAATTCTAAGTTCTACTGATAGTGCAGGGACCTAGTCAGAAGCAACAGCTCCAAAAGATCTCAGACTTCTTCTGGAAATACTTTGACATTGGCCAGGTACGCAAGACACCCCCATTTTATATTTAACAGAAGTTGAATATAAAACATATAGATGCTATGGAGATACTGCAGTCAAAGGAGAAGAGAACCTCTGAGGAAAAAAAAAAAAAAGAAAGAAAAAAAAGACATTCTAGAGAGGCTAGAATTTTATCATGAAAAACTCTTTTTACTGATCATAGTTATCTGCACTGAGTGTTTACCAGTAGCAACTATAACTTAGTCACTCCAAAATGCATTTGAGAACATTATAGTCTAGTATCATGCTTCCATTATGTCCCCATTCATGAAAAGTACACTTACAAGATTTACAAGACATTTGAGAACATAATATTTGAGGAAATAATACCGGCAAAGTGAAGCCATTGTCTGATTTGATTCTAGTTCAAGTTCTGTTGTGGTTTAACCTGGCAGGCAGCTAAACACTACACAGCCTTTATCTCAACCCACAAATTTTTCTTTTCTTTTCCTTTTTT